TTTTTCTTTTTTGGAGAGGTTTTTGCTATAGGGTGTGTGCGCTCGCCAGACAGAGAGAGACAGAGAGACAGAAAGCGAGAAATCACCCCCTTAGCGGGGATGGCCATGCCGCAATCCCTTCTCCTCCATTCTCCTCTCGGGATCTTGGGCACACACGCACACGTGCCCGGTGTGAGTTTTAAGACACCAGGTCCAGGACACGAACTGCAGTCGACTACATGGGAGTCCAGCAACATAGCCATTATGGTAACTGTTGGCCCCTGAAAACTTGTTTTAATATTACACCTCATTGTCTCTAGCTTCAGGGATTTTTTAAAAAAGTATATGAGAAAATAAACTTTTATTTGAAAGAAAAAATGCTATCAAGGAAAAACAATTTTTTTTAGAGAGACTTTTGCTAAAGGACATTTGCCCTCACCAGAGAGACAGAAAGCAAGAAATCACCCCCAGGGAGACATCCACACCACAGTCTCTTCTCCATTCTCCTCTGGGGATCATGGGAAGGTACACACACACACAACTGTCATGATTTTTAAGTTGCTGGGCCTGGGATTCGAACTGAGGTTGATTACATCAGAGTCCTGGACGCTCATTATAATGTGTTCTAAACTCTTACTGCATATATCAACTTCTGATATATTTTATAGCAGCTCTGTTTTCAGTTTACTGTATTATACATAGCAAAAGGGTTTTGTGAAAAAGTCGATTATAATTTTCCCTAATTTATAGTGAATTTGTCAGAAAGAAATCAAGTTTCATAATTACACTTAATTCTAGATATTAAATGTCAAATGTTCTGATCTTGCATATTTTGTAAGGACAGTTTAAATGGTATTTAAATGGTAAATATGAAATAAAGACTGATGACTTTAATTCAGATATTTTGTAAACAGTTGAGTAATATTTGCTTTCTTATGTCAAGTTGCTAGGAGAGAAAATTTGTTAGGTAAAAAGAATAAATGTGTTTTTGTTTTAATAGTTCCTGTATCTTCCAGGGAACACTATATAATGAATTCACAATATAGAGGTTTGTCCAACGCCTGAGGGATTTTAATAGATTGAATTGTGCTTCAACAAGAGACACACTGAAAACAAATTGTGTTGAACTATAGATCCATATAGGTGTAAAATTTATTTTTATAATTGGGTATCATATGGCTGGTATCATATTGATAACTTCTTGAAAGGAGGGTGAAGCTAAGCTTTAACATAAAAAAAAATTCTTTGGTTAATTGCTTAGAAGATTTTTATTATGGCATTTCCTGTGAATTACTATTTTAAAACTAATAATGTTATTATTATACAATAGAAATTTTACAAAAACCAAACAAAATTTGACAGCTTTATTATAATCTTCATAATAGTCATTGAAATATTTTTATCATTTTTTTCTTAATTTACCATCCTCCAGTGGAAATGGATTATACTTCTGAATGTTTGTAAATAAATTTTATTGAAGGGAATGGATTAAATGTATCCCTTTCAATCTACTTAGCTTATATGAAATTAATCCAACTTATCTTTTGTATCAAATGGTTTCTGTATATTTGGAAGGAGTTAAATAAGTATATGATTTAATGTCAACTTTTAAAAAGCAATGTAAAGTTATATGGCTATAATTGTTCTTTCTTTTTTAAAAGGTTGCATATAAAATAGACTAATCAGCAGTACCAAATTATAGCTATGTTCTTTAATAGGTTAATAATAAAATAACATTTATTTTAAAGGAAAGAAAATTATCTTTTCCATCTGCATGACCATAAGCATCCCCATGAGTGACCAAATGGTAGTCATGAGAGCCATTCTCATGGGACTCCTGGTTCCAAATACTTCACAAAATTTTCCAAAGTCCCAAACATTCAACCTAAATGTAGCAAACTCAGTCTAAGTAGTGGTCCTTATGAAGCCTAACCAAATGTACTTTTGAAGAGTAATAAGAATGCCTCTATTAAGAGTATTCTTCCATCACTGGAAAGAAAGTATAAAAAATACTGACTATATAGTACTTCCATCACTGGAAAGAAATTATAAAAAATACTGTCTATATAGTACAGTGGTTAAGGCAACTGTATCTCACAAGGCCAACCACACAGTTCAAGTCCTGGACCCGGTGGCTTGAGGAGCATGTCAGGAACATGTGCGAACATGCCCAAACTTCAGGAAGGAGAGAGAGATGGAAAAGAAGGGATTGCAGTGTGGCTATTCCCCATGAGGGAATATTTTCTCCTTTCCCTCTCTCTCTTTCTGGCCAGTGCACATGCCCTCCAGGAAAAGAAAAAAAAAAAAACCCCTCTACTTTGAAATTAACTTTTATTTCTAAATAGAATTTCCAAATTTGTGGGTAGAACCATATTTTCTTCCTTTCCTTCTATTTTTTTTTTAATGCCAGAAGGCACATGTGTGTACCAGAGAGTAAAAGAGATGAGCTGCCCCCTAATGAGGCCTCATCATGTCACAATTCCTTTTTCTACCACTTCTCCATTTTGTCAGTATCCTGGGCACATAAACATATGCACCTGACATGATTTTTAAGTAATCAGGGCCAGGACTCAAAGCATTCTTAGCCATATAGGATCAACTTCTTCTACACTGTTAACCACTGCCTTAAGGGACCAGTCACATATATTCATAATAATCATGCAGCTTCAAATTTATGGAAAACTTATTCCATTGCTTTCAAATGATCCTTGTGGATAATTTCATTCTCAGAAACAACACAAAATCTAATTCTCACTCTGGTCAAATATTTAAACAATGGGGCTCTGATTTGCTAGGCTAGACTAATCCATTAATAGCCACGTTCTTTACAGGAGGTATACTTCTACTTGCTATTGAAATATCTACAGGGGACCAGCAGTTAGCGTAATGGCTATGACGCTGGACTCCCATGTAGTCGACCACAGTTCACATCCTGCACCCAGTGGCTTAAAAAGCATGCCGGGTGTGTGGGCGTGCGCGCCTAATCCTGAGAGGAGAACAGAGGAGAAGGGATTGCAGCATGGTCATTCCCCCTGGGGGGTGATTTCTCGCTTTCTGTCTCTGTCTCTCTCTGTCTGTCTGGCGGAGCGCACGCGCCCTATAGCAAAAACATCTCCAAAAAAAAAAAATCTACAGAGCTTGGGACCAGCAGAAGGTGTAATGGTTATGTCAACTGTGGTTCTACTCCTGGACTTGACGGCTTAAACTCACAACAGGAGCATTTGCATGTGTGCCCAAGATCCTGAGAGGAGAATGGAGGAGAAGGAATTGGGGCATGGCCATGCCCCATGGAGGGTAATTTCTCACTTTCTGTCTCTCTGGTGAGTGGACGTTACCAATGGCAAAAACCTCTTTCTCTCAAAAAAAGAAATATGTACAGAGCTTTATAAAAGTGGTCAATATTTATTTTATTTTCCTATAAAGTTTGTGTTTTAAACTTTCTTCAGTGTTTTATCACCTCGCCAAACTAGAATCTAATTTCCAAATGGACCAAACATGTCCAGAATGTCATAATTCCTCTGCCTTCACTTCTTTCACTTCATGTCTGTCTATTACAATCATATCAATATTGCAAGGCTCAATTCAAATCCATTAAATGTAATGCCTTTCCTGACTCTTTTTCCTCCTATTCTCCAAACTAGTTATGATCTTTATCCTCCTGTAAATTCCTGTAATAGTTGGTCATTCTCTTATGTTATCTGTCATAGTCTATCTTGTTATTACAAGTTAGATGGGTATCTGCTTGTCTCAATTATTTTGTGAACTCCTGGAAGTCAGGGAGTGTGCTTTATTTATCAATTTATCTTTTATTTATTTATTTTTTTTTGAGAGAGAGGTTTTTGCTATAGGGCTCGCGCACTTGGCAGAAAGTCAGAGAGAGACAGAGAGACAGAAAATGAGACATCACCCCCCAGAATGGATGACCACGCCACAATCCCTTTTACCTCCATTCTCCTCTAGGGATCTTGGGCACGCACACACATGTGCCTGGCGTGAGTTTGAGCCACCGGGTCTGGAACTCAAACTGCAGTTAAATACGTGGGAGTTCAGCAACATAGCCATTATACCAACTGCTGGTCCTGAATTTATCATATTACAGACAATAATGACATGCACATATCAAGGATATAATATTTGTTGAATAAATGAAGTAAGAAAGGAACAAACTGATGGGTCACTGTGATTAACTTACTCTTAGGATCCCATTAACATTTATCTTAACTCCTCACCAAAGAAAAAAAGATGTTCAAATTCTAGCTCATATGCTACTTGACAAGAGGGCAGAGAGACCATGTTCTAAACTAATAGGAAGTAGGAGGAGGAATTACAAAATAGATTTTGTGTTTCATTACCCAATGGCCATAAATAATTGAAAAATAATATTCTAATGATGAGTATGTGATAAATTACCATAAACATCTGTTTGACTTTTCACAGATTTTTAACATATATTTTAATCACATTGTCTCCAGAGAGCCAATGTAATAAATGGAATAGATTATTACTATGATCTTCATTTTACAGGTAAGGAATCATGTTCAGAAGGGTTATGTATCATGCCCAAAGTCATTCAGCTTGTAAGTGGCAAATCAGAATTGGAATCTGAGGCTGTCTGACTATAAGTCGTGAATGTTATATCATACCTCACAACTGCCTCCCAAACTCCTGAAAGATACACAGTGTTTACTTTTTTTACCCAAGCTATGGGAATGGATTATTGTATATTATGCTACTCTGTCATTACTCTGGTCATGTCTCCCACACACTGTGTACTTGATTGCAAGACAGGAAGCTAGAAATTAAAGTGAGATCAGTGGCCATGGAATGAAAACAAACAGCAGCAACAAATCTCGCAGGCCTAGTCAGAAACCAAACTCATTAATACTGTATAATGTATAATACTGTACCAACTGAGTCAATGAGCTGAGTGTTACTATTGAATATCTGGTGATATTGCTAATATTTTACCAAAAATTACATGTAATTAGCACCTTTGTCCTCTTCTAAATCATAATTCTTACCTTTATAACAGAGGCACCAGCTCTGGAGAGTGGACTGTGAATCTGGGCTGCAGCAGCCATGTTGGCAATAGTATTGAGATGGTTCATCTGATTCATTGCCATGGCAACTGATGCAGGAGGTAAGCTGACTGGAAGTAGGGGATGAGGCATCATCATAAATGGCAGATCCAGTCCTAAAAGAGACAGTGTATGTTAAACTTGCTATAGTAGGATGCTATGAAATAGTGTTTTTAAAGTAGCTAAATTTATTCTTGTTGGCATTTGTTTTTACATCAAGTTTTATTATATCACAGTATCTCTCTGGACTATTAATAGTAAGTATGGAATTTTATTCTGTTTAACATTTTAAAGTGTTCATATAACCACAGACTTTTATTGATAAATATGCTTTGTTCTTGCTTTCACTCCTAAAATATTTATAACATTCCATCTTTTTTTACCCACAATAACAAGCAAAAATCTTTAAGCCAAACATCATTGTATGTAACAAATAAGAAGTAACCTTATTTTAACCTTTATAATATATTGATGTGTTGATAGTTTCTTACTTAGCACTATTTTAAAGAGACTTAGTAGTGATACTGGTAAGGCAGAATGCAGAATTGCTAAGCTTCAGAATTATTAAGAAAAAAAAAACAGTTGGAATACGTTATACCCTTTTATACATCAATCTCTAAGTGAACACTTACATCTCTAATTTGAATTCCACATCAACAAATAAATTCTTCCCTATCAAAATATCAACCTGTTTTCTAGTTTAATAACAAATACCAATATCGTTGACTAGTGTAAGGAATCATGTTTGCTGTCTTATGCTAGTTGAAATAATCTTCGCCTATTTAAATCTCTCAAAGAATCGCTCTCAGGTAAGATCCATATTCTACTTGTAGCCAAATATGCCATCATGTAGAATGTAAGAAATTAAAATAGTTGTCTACTTACCCCTTTTCAGGTTGGGATTTGTTAGAGGAAAAGTCTTTGAGCAAAGGCTAGAGAAAGTTAGCCTAATATTCCAGATATTAAGATGACTACAAGTAAACCATAGCACTTTACAACATATTTTAAACTACTACATCTATAGTAATTTTCCCATATTTTGGACTGAAGCCCAGAAAACAGTAATTTTTAACAGATGTTCTAAAACATTTTTGCTTGTAATTTGTCTAAATCATTACAGACTACAGAAATTCTATGATGGGCAATGTTTATGTTGATTCTACACATGATTATCAACTGTTAATAACATCTTTTTTTCCTCCTTGCCATCCTTTCACTTTTTCTTGCTTCCCAAATCACAACAGAGAAAGAACAACAAAATCTATAGTAAGTATACTCAAAGGACACTTAAGTCTCAGTTTTCAAAACAACAGTGTCAGTAATACAGATAGTCAAAACATATTTTTTAGGAACAAGATTTTCTCCCATTCCGTAATTTGTCTTTATCATTCTCCTAACAGTGTGTTTCACAGAGAAGTTTTCTATTTAAATGAAGTACAATATTAATGGAGGTTAGAAATAAACCTCCTGTTATTAACTTATTTGAGGACCATCTTCTGACTTCAGCGATGATGGTTGATTTAAAGCAGTTAAAAGAATACAAAGGCAGCACAATGCAGTAAAATATACTTCTAGAAAGGACAGATCTCATACAACAGTAAAGTGATCATCTCGATTACAGGGATTTCTAAGAAAAAGGATGTACTGGTCATCTCTGTTTCTGATAAAGACAGATACAAACTGTACTGTTATCAGAATGACACAAGGAATAAAACAAACCTAGAAACTCATATTCTACATGGAATTCAAGAGAGATAACATACTACGTGAGCTCTAAGACTCCATATCCCAGAGAATATCAGTAAAATATCTTTCTTTCTTTCTTTTTCTTTCTCTCTTTCTTTCTTTTTTCTTTCTTTCTTTCTTTCTTTCTTTCTTTCTTTCTTTCTTTCTTTCTTTCTTTCTTT